ACCGATCGGCGAAAAGTGTCGGCGGCTGTGTCGCAACGAAACCTTTTTCCCTCGGAGTAATTGCCATGATTATGGAGCGCGGGGCGCGAAATTAGTTGTTCAACGCAGATCAGAGTACCGTCGGGATATTTTTTTCCTTATTTTTTTTTTTTTTGGAGGAAAAAGATCGAACAGCTCTCTCGCGTAAGTCGGTCGCGCGTGAAATTTTCGATCCCCTGTGGAAATTGATTGTCTCGTCCTTTCTTTTCCTTTTTTTTTTTTTTTTATGCCGCGCGAGGCAGCTGTCAGATATTACTGAGAATTACTGTCGCGAGAAATTGTACATTTAATCGAAACTGATCAACGCGATCCGCTTTTGTCCCGGTTTAATAAATTGACTCTTTAGGAGGAGATCTTCTTCGTTTAACTGTCACGCGTAATAGAAATTCTATATGCGTTGCTATTAATTTGTTGTCACGAATACATAGGCACTGCAAAAGTATTTCAACACTTTAATGTTATTTACGTTATATAAAACATTTTGAGATTTCGTTACCATTTCAATGAAATCTGAGTATCACGATCACGCTTAAATTACCTGATTTCTATTTGATTAAGCAACCAATTGTACATTGTATTAATAATCATCATCATGATGAAACCAGAGTATCACCTTGGTTGAATTTGAAATAAATAAAAATTAAATACACTGGTAATTGAACCAACCAGCTCTACATGATATTAACAAGCCTTAATATTCAAGCTTATTGTAATATATCTTTAAGACAGTTACTTACGCTTCACAACAATTTTTGTCAAATATCATACAAATTCCACAAATATTTTCAGATTACCTTCAAATTCAAAGTCATAGAATTGCAATGTTAACGAAATTTCAAAATGTTTCAAGAAACGCGTGTGTGCCTATGCGAAGGTTCTTGACAAACGTTCGGATATTTTCCATGAGTCGAGCGTTTCTAATTCTAATAATCATAATTTATTGTCACCATCGTTGGTGACACATCTTTCCAATTTTGAAATAAATATTAAATACTAATATCAATATTGTTAAACAATAATATTCGTAATATTAGATATATTATTACATGACAAGTTTAGATAAATATTACCAAGTTCCATTTCTCCGAAAGTAAGTAAATAAACAAATA